TTTGGATGCTTATCAGCTTTTGAAATTGATAAGGAGAAACTGAAAATATAAAATAGCTTAAAATTTTCTCCGCCAGTTTATGTTCCATTCACCACCGCACAGCCAATGAGGAAAACTCCCTTTTCTTGTTTTTCTTTAACCTCCACACAACTACTAACGCATTTTTGGATATTTTATCGATAAAAAATAGACAAATTTCTATTCGTTGGTTCCAGCCAATCCAAATAGAGACGCTAAGACGCAGCCGCTAAGACGCAGCCGCTAGATCGAGACGCAAATTGCACCTACCCTACCCTTCATCAACTAGAAGCAGAAAATTACGATTATGTCTGTTTTGAACCAATTAGAATACAGATTACACTGCATTGATGTTTTATTATTTCTCCGAGAACTGTTGTTTATTAAACATTTTAAAAGTGAACAAAAAATATTTCATATTATACAGTTCTGACTAAAGCAGAAATAGTCAGTTAAGAAAATCATCTTTGAGTAAAACGAATAGTATTCTGGAAAGAAAATGGCTGTTTGACGTTCGTTTATTTATTGATATGCATATTTTTTCAGTAATATGAAACGAAAAACAATAAAGTACAGGAATTTATTTGGTTTAACTTCATTTCTTTTAAGTTAAATTATTTTCGAAATTTTCGCCTAAAAAAGATAATACTGTGTGCTATCTTTTATAAGAAAACTTTTGAAGTGTGGGCTAAGTAATTAACTGCCCTTCTTGTTTAGCACGATAATTTTCTTTTCTTCAAGGATCTACTCCGTAACTAATAATTTAATTCAGTTTTAACCTGGATTAATTTAATGAATATAATTAATATAAAACTGCATGCTGTTGTAGATAGAACTCATCATCCGTTTATAGTGTAACATATCAGATATTAAATACCCTATCAAACATATCATCAAAAGCATGGGTCCAAAGAAAATAACAAAAACGCAAATGAAAAAAGCTGGCACCATGGTAGCTACTGCGAATGTATGCATTAAACAGCAGCGCATTTTTTGTTAAAATATTTTTGATTAAAAATTTATTATAGGCTGGCCAAGAGTTTTTATCACGTACATGGGGAGAAGAAAAACTCAATAAAGTGAATGCAATGTTAGATGAACGTGATAATGTTGATGGAACAAGTGATAGCAGAGCAACTAATCATGCTTCATCAAGTACTGCCACCACATCTGGCAGTGCATCATCCACCACCAAACCAAAACTAGCCAAACATGTAACAATGGCAGCTACAACAAAAGTAAAAAAGCCTTATCGTTTGTCAAAAAACTTTGCGTTTTAAATTGCTCTATATTTCTAGGAAGCAAAATCATTAATCGGTAGTGAAAAACTTGGTAAGAAAAACTTTTGTTATTCTTTTATAGTCACTTCGCAGGTTTGAACAGACATGTTCAGCAGTTAGATACTAAGTACAGCAACTATTTTTTCGATAAAACCTTTTCCGCTAATATTAGTCTGTTTATCTGTTGTTTTCTTCAAGAATGAAAATCGTATTTTCGAAACGCCGAATTGTCAATAAAAAAATTAAATAATGGATTAAATAGCTGCTCTACAGTTCTTTTTCTGCTACTTAAAAAAATGCATACTAACGATCATTTCACTGTAGGAGACACCCGTTTAGAAACAAAACGTCGAAAAGCTGCAGAAGAAGCCAAAAAAGCGCTGAAAGAAGTAGGAAAACCCCAAGGACGAAAACCTAAACAACAGCAGAAGCAAGCAAAAAAACCTACTCTTAAACGATTGGGAACGATGGCACAAACTGCAGCAGCTGGGAAAGAATACTTAAAGCGTGGAGGGAAAAAGCCAACAACGACTGGTAGAAAGAAAAAAGGTGGAGGTAATAAAAAATCGACAAAGAAAAATTAATGAATTGATGAGACAATTATAGAGCATTTTGACGAAAAACATGATTGCTTCTGTAGAAATTGATGTTTGTGTGTGTGTATGATTATACGTAGAAAAAAACAATTTGTCTTTTAGAAACGTTTTATTGCTTGCGCTTTCTTTTTCCTTTTAGTTTTCTGTGTTGTTTTTTCAATAGCGCCTATTTTTTCATTCGCATGTGTAGTTACAAATTTTTCTTGTAATTCTACTATTTGAAAATGTCACATGACATTTTTTATAGTTAGCTTATTGTTCATCACTATAGAACGCTTGCATCTACGTCTCAGCACCTTTTTTGTTGGACATATTTGTATCGTACTTCGTTTGAGATGTTTTTTCTATTAACAGGCCTATTGGAAAATAGATTTTCTTATGATTGTTGTGTTTGTTTTTTAAATTGATTTTGTTTTTCTCTGTCCAATTATTCTGGACAAAATTTTAATATGATTTTTATGTTTTGATTTCTATTTTCCCTCATCGGCTTATGTTTTACGCTTCTGGGCTAAGTAGAGGCATTGTGGACCAAACGTTTTTCAGCACAGGTACTAATTTTTGATCAAATTTGGTCATCAAAGATCAACGAATTCGAGATCCATGCAGTGAAAACGTGTGTTTTTCAACAACCATTTTTTGTTTCTTTACAAGCAAGAAACAGTGATGTGATGTTTGTTTATTGTTGTGTATGATTTTTTATTTCTTTAAAATTCTTTTCCATTGTGTGCGAGAGTGTTTTGTTTTGACTATTTTTGTGCGAGTATGTAGATGTATTCTTCTTTGTTTTTACGTATATCCTAACATTTATAACAAAAAAAACTATTTGTCGATATATATACGATCGATTTTCAACTTTCTTTTATGGTCTAATAATATTTAAATAAAAATTATATGTACATTTTGTATAAATATCGACACAAACACTTTCAGCTACATTTACAATTATATATTAGTCTGTTGTTTCAATTGTTTATATTCTCAGAGCAGAAAGAACGACTCTTGAATGACCAATTCGTTATTTCGAAGTGAACAAGTACAATAAATATTTCAAAAATGATTTTGATCGCATAATATACTGTCAGACGATAATGAAATACAAGGTTTCTTGAAAATTCTTTATGAGTATTAAAGCATTTGTGCACACGTTTCTCAGTCATTAAGCTTACTTTTCATTTTTTTGGTTCGCTGGATTGGAAATCTAAACGGAGATTTATTTTATTAAATTTTACAGATGCTTAGTTTAGGATCTTTTTGTCAGACGACTATTTTGTGACTGTACGCCCAATTTGGATGATTTAGAACACGTTTGTCTTGTTTAGAAATAGTTACAATAGAGTTTTTAAGGCTCCATCTACCAACGTTCAACAAAGAGCACTCAAATGTTGGTCAAAATGTGACATTTACTAATTACAAAGTCTAGCTATCTGTCTTCTGTTTTTGGATTTATTACTGTGATTAACATCATTTTTCAATGATGCTTTGAACAAGAATTTTCGAAACATGGAGGAAAAAAGTCAACCAGAATCAGATTACAAATTAAGTGATGGAGAGTTGAGATTGGTTGTAAAACAAATGAGGTGTTCAGAAATGAGCTATGCAAATGAGGAATAGCAGAAGTGAGTGAAAATTTTAAGTCAGAATGAAACATATATTCATAATTAGCATAAAACACTGAGTGGAAACTGGTTTTTGAATAGTATTATCGAACGCTGCGCCTACTCTCTGGTCGCTAGATATATACAGGATGCCCTTACTCTATCATCAGAGTATTGTCGCTGTAAGAGTAAAGTCGGTTGCTAGTGACACCTTTTGTTCAGCGCGAAAACTTCATTTCTTTTGAAGTGCTCTAAAACAAGTTTCCACTCAGTTTTTTGTGCTGATTATGAATACGTGATTCATTGACTCAAACGTTCACTTAGTTTTGCTATTCCTCATTAGCAAATGCGCCAAAGGTTTTTTAGGCCAAACAAAACATACACAAGTTTCTTCATCTGCACTGAATATCTTGTTAGCTGATCGCTTGTTTTCATTTTCCATTACTGTACACCGCATACAAAAATCGAAAAAGTGTGCCATCATAAATAAGTTCAAACTGCCACGTTCAATACGATGAAGAGGAACACTTTTGGTGTAACCGATATATCCGGATACAAAAAAACATTTTTATTGTGCTCTTTTTCTCCTGACTGGTACCCATCAACAATTCCCTTAAAGTGTAACTTACCATCGCTGCACTTTTATAGAACAGGAGTATTGCTCCACACTTTTCTTGGTACTGTGCTATTTTTCTTAAGCAAAACTTTTCAAACTCTACTTATTTGTTGAACGGCATCTTCAGTTGAACAGCAAAAAAAAATTAAAAAAATTCTGCGAAGCTTTTTTCTATTCCACTTCACCGTAGAAAAAAATTTGTTTTTATAGAAAATCAAAAATACTAAATAAAGAAAAAAGCCAAGGTGGTCGATGTAGAACCTGGTCCTACTAGTTTCTCTTTAGAATCTGCCAACACTTTTCGGCTTTAAGATGTGAAATTTTATCCCTGAGATAATATAATTATATAACTGTTATTCAGAGTAAAATCTGATGAAGTAGATGAGTAGAGTAAATAAATTGTACACTTATTAACGAAATGTCACTAGCTCCAGAATTTTACCCATAAACCCAAGAGTACAATAATATCGATACTAAGTTTAATGAGAAACAATTGACTTTATATTTGAACAGCTCTGATTGCAAATGTGAACTAAGAATAACATTCCGTAATTGAATAAATCTTAGATGTTCGAGATATGAATGTCTAAGTTAATGTTGTTCTTATGTAATGCATTTCCACATTTTTGTCATGCATGACTCTATAATATCGTCGAAATCGTCATCTTTTATAATCTTTGTATGGTACATTATTTTACAAAAAACAGGAAGTAAAAGTGGGAGGTATTTCTTCGTATGCCACGCGTAAAAAACTTATGAATATGAATTTGATAAAAAACCGATGTTGATGATCCAGATAAATCAACAATAAATAATACGAACGTCTAATGTCTATATTGTATCGGCTATAATAGCTGAAAATTACTTGAGAATCTTGTCCAAGAGAAAGAAGATGGAATCGAATCTTTTAATAATATCAGAATGCGAACGTATCTAAGTTTTCTTCTACATGAAGCAAGACAAGTTCAGGATTTAAACGGCATAAAAGTATTGAACTCACATGTACGCCTAATATGATTCTGACTCTCGTGATCGTATTGACAGTTCGATCGTTTCAACAACGCCTTTTTTAAGGTATAGTCAAGACACCTTTTCTAACATATTTTTTTACTGTCTTGGGCGTAGTACGGTTTCTCATGCTCTGCTCAAGATAAACTGTTGTAGATAATCGTTAGATTAGTTACTTAAATTTTTCACTATAAACTATTCTACGCTATTTTATCTCATATCTTACTCATCATTACGTATCTCTTTCATAGACAACATGTGTGTGGTGTGCTTTTTGTGAGTGTCAACTACAGATACGTAGACAGTACTCTCCTTTGTTCATACTTATTGAAAATAAAATGTTTTGATCCATATTTTCTTTCCTATTACCTGTGTATGTGCAAAACGAAATATACATCAATAACAATTGCGTGACCAGAAACATACATTTCTTCCTTTTTTTTCTTATAACACGAAAAAAAGTGAGAAAACGTTATTATTGAAAACCTTGTAAAATAAAAAAAAAGAAGCAACAAAATCGAACATATGTATAATCGTTTTTTGAAAAACATGTGTCAAAATGAGTTACTGAGACACACAATAAAGGAAGCCACCATTGTACATATTTCATTTTAGAAATTTCTACTATGCGTGATCTATTACGAACACAAATACGTTGGGAATCAACGGACGATAAATCATATAGGCTGCAAGAATTATTAAAAACAGAGCAATTACCAACAATCGTTAACATAGCATCATCGTTCAATACCGGTAGACGTTCAATTCGCTCAATATTTGCACGTGATACACCATCGTTATTAATACATCAAGAAAAAATTGATTCAGTTCTAGCACAATGTCATCAAACAAAATATCGACATCGAGCAAAACTCGTAGCAGCAACGAAACTTCGTACAATGAAGAAGCTATCGCGTTCAGCAGCTTCTCTTGTGACAGCACATGGTAATGATGGTGGTGATGATAGTGATGATGATGATGGTGATTCGAAACAAGAAAATTCAAAACAATCATTATTGAAATTAATTGATGAAAATAGTCGTCATAAAACACTTTGTCGGATACCGCTGAACTATTGTGGACTATTTGAATTATTGAATGAAAGTGGACTAGCAATTGAACCATGTAAATATGTAAGTGATAACATATTAGAATATAACTGCTGAAATAAAACAAGCCATTTTTTCATCTGATTCAATTTCGTATCTATTTTTCATCAAATTCTATTGATTTTAGGTATCCGAATTGCCACTAACGTATAATACTGGTGATAATGACGATAAACGTTTGGAAAAATGGCCAAATCGTTTTTTATTACGAAAAAATTGTACAGGTTATACTACTGTAAAGTTAGATGAAGACGACACGACGATTGGTGACAGCGAAAAAGGTCGTCAATTATCATCGAGTGATTCATGCTATGGTTCATCATCTTCCGATATGGTGGATTCACATAAAACGGTCACATTATTGAATCATAGTGAACAGTTGTATGCTGGTGAAATTATCTCAATACTTAACGTGTGTTGTGCACGGGTTTTAGCTCGAAAAAAATCAGATACAAGCGGTTACGGTATAGATGATGAATACTTAGACAATAAACGAAATCTGAATACGAGTTCAGGTAGTACTCCATCGTCCTGGGTCAGAAATATCGCAAAATCGCGATTTTTTCTAAAAAAGAGTAAAAAATCGATTCCAGTCGACGATACATTGGCAACGAAACGAAATGTTGTAGAACAATCATCACCAACACCGACTGAACGTTATTTAAAATGTAAAACGGAAAAGGGTCATATTGTGTATATATCATTTACTGAAAATGGTTTATTTAGTCCAGTACAAACATCAGAACCTAATGAACTAGAGGATATAACAGGTGTATTTAATCTAAAAGATTTATTAAGAAATTTTCGTTTACCTCTACCCGTTAAAGCGGTTACCAAAGATGAAATTATCAATTATTTTTCCGATGAATATCATCACTCAAATAAATCATCCAATAAACTACGTCTGCTAACTCCATACAGTGAACATGTTGTGTGGATATGCCCATTGACAACAAATAATTTAATGGCAAAAAATAAAATTATCATACCAGTGCCATTGAAATCTGATATCTATTTTTATCGTTGTACAAACATGAAGGATGTGTTAAGATCAAAACACTATCAAGAATTAATTAATAGTTGTTTTCAAAGTTTAAAACAGCATGAAAATATGATATCGATAGTTAATTTTCCGTTGGATATAAAATCAATACGTCTGAGATCGCCATTATTAATCAAACATCAGAGATATAGAAATCGGTCACAATCTCAATTTGCAATTCGTGAATCGTTGACTACTACAAATAGTTTAGAAACATGTGAACATCGTCATTGTCATTCATACGAAAATTTGAATGAGAAACATCGTAATGCTCATTTTTCCTATTATGGTTGGTCATCATCTTCTTCATCTGCCGATGATTATCTTCATAATACGACAAAAATGGGCGAACCATTACAATATCGAGATAGTTTTGAAACAATAAAACAAAAACTTTCAAATTCAACAAGTTATCATGAACAAAATCCACAAACAAATAGTCGTTTGTATTACTCACAAAAAAATCTGGATAATAGTACAAATTCACAAAGAAATAAATCAAGAAAATCATTTCCACTAACCGATGATTCTTATGAGCCATCATCGTATAATCATTTTACTCATAAAAAAATAAATGAAGATTTAAGTTACAATGAAATTGATCAATTATACGATTATATTCGAACAGGCATTATGTCAGATAATATATTAGAGATAATAAATCCATCAACAGAAAATTGCTTTGATAATAGTGAACATTATTATGATGCTGATGAAAGTTATAGAACTGATAGTTCTGAACATTCATTAAGTAAAACGACAAATAATTATGTAAATATCCCTCAATCGCCAAACAAAACGACAACAAGAAACAAGAGTGTAGAAAATATTCCAAAAATTTTAATTGCTGGAAAACAACAACAAAAATCAAAGGTTAGTATCAATGAACAAACAACAAAACTCTATTTAAAGAATGAGAGTGCACAAATCAGAAAAATGAATTTCAATCCAGTAAAGAGAGGAATGAGGGGCTGTCTGATACCACCAGTATTTAGAGCAACTCATGTTACATGTATGAAAAAAGGATGGGGGCGCATTTGAGTGAGAATCGGCCCACTCATATTTTCCACTTCCAATGACCGAATTTATTAGAAAAGTCACATTTCTATTATTCTCTGTCATTCCCGAGCGAAAAAGATAAAAACAGATGAAAAAAAGTTTTTCT